ATTTGGAGAACAATAGAGCAGGGATAACAGTTTTCGGGTTCACGGTGGATCGAATGTGGCTTCACTCCATTTTTGCAATTCAACTGGCTCTTCTGCTATGGCTGCTGAACAAGACGCTGGGTGTTTGATGCACCCATTGCCATTGAGGATAGCACCAAAACAATGTAGTTATATGGGTCGCTGAACTTTTCCTGTGGAAAATGATATATGGTGATTTTGATTTGAGTTCATTATATATTTTCGAAATTAGGATTCAGTCGATCAACATTTACGTTGTTTGATAGCGAAATAAACATCAGTTCACCTTGTGTTGCTGGTGGAGAAGACATTTTATTAAATGCTTGGTGGGTCGTTTTTATAGAAAATTAATGAAAAAATTTTTAAAATTTTGAGTTTTAACGATAAAGACAAAATAAAAGGTAAAGTGAATAGTACAAAGATTGACTTTTTAGTGTAAAAATATGGTTTTTCGTTAAAGTGAGTTGGGAGCTTTTCGTTAAAGGTCCAAAGTTTTATTGTTAGAAATTTCATATAAAGCTCTTTTAAAAGTGTTTTTAAAATTACTGAAAACACTTTTAGAAAATGTTTTTTTTATTCCAAAAGCACTTGAAGTGCTATGTGCAAGAAGTATTGAATATGTTTTTTTCTATAATTTACTTGCATTTTTATTAAGTATTGATTTCAAAAATATTTTCACCAAAAAAGTTTTTAGCCAAATTCTATGGCCTTAAAGATTAATTGTTAATTATTGTAATTGGAGAGATTAAGGAAAATGATGAAAAAATACCTACGAAAAGGAAATTCGGAGAAGGATAGAATTCCATTTGCATAATTTCTTTTTAATACATATTTTGGATGCACGAAATGTAATCAAACACTAATTAATTATTTGTACATCACAAAGCATCTGTGTTTTAGCTGATCCGTCTCCAAGTCTTATTTATCTCATCATGAAATGCACACAGAGCCTTCAGACTTGAGGAATTCTGCACATCACAATAGTAATTAAAACACATTAGCCCATATCAATTTATGAACAAAAAATCCAGAATATCGTTGTTAGCCAACACTCGAAAACAGTGATCATGCACATTTTCATTATTTCTTCGGTCAAATGACGAGTGCAAGATGATTTTTTTTTAGTGTCAATAACAGCTCAAATAAAGAAATAAAATATAAAAATTGAGAGAGTGCTTACGTTGCGCAGTCAATTTTGGGGTCGAGAGGAACGGGAAGGGACACATGGCAGAGATCAGGAAGCTGCCTGAGTCTGTCAGGGTTGATCGGAATGCCAGCAGCTGCTTTCTTGAAACATTCACAGAGGTTCCTCCGACACTCTCTGGTGGTAGCCGCATCAGAAACTGTTTTCACACCAATGCAACAAGTAATCGGAGGAGTCCCGGGGCCGGACCCCGTCAAGTATTCCTTACATGGCATCAAATCCATCAAGGCCTCTTGGCATGTGATATCGCCATTTGCAGGACTTGCATGGTTCAGAACCATAACCATCAGCCCGAAAAAGATCACCAATTTCATCTCCATTTTCTTTTGGAACACAAAAATAAGGCAAATATTGATTATAATTTGCTTGGATATGCAAGGGACTTGAAGATTTGGGTGTGGCTTGGAGCATGAACTGCATGCTCTATTTATAGGGGAGTCGCGAGCTGCTTTTTGGTAGCTCATTTAATGTGTAGAGGTGCAGTCAAAATTTTTTCTCCTTTTTAAGAGTTAATTTTTTCCTAAACAGCTAATTTTTACTTAAAAGTGAGAAGTATGTCAGACCAAAAGAAAAACAGGTTTAAAACTATGTAAAACCATAGGCGCCAATTGATTAAGAGCATTTTTTCTTGAATTTGAAGCCTCGACTCTAAATATAACTTGTGTAAAACAATAAGAAATAGGCAATATTAAAGCAGATAAAAGTTGCACAAACAATTAATATTAAAAATCTACACAATGACCAAAATCTAGCAAAATTCATATCTTGATGGATAATTATAATTTAATTCTTTTATCTTTTTTAGTTTTTTTTTTGGGTTCAAAAGATTATTCATGTAGATTGTGGAGTTTGAATAAGGGGGGCATTTCCGACAAATTCTGCATATAAACAAAACAACAACTAGCTTTGCCAGTTGAGAGTTCAGAGGGTTGTATATCTGTAGCTGGTTTTTACTTTTATGGAGAAGAAACGTTTTCTTTGCTGGTATAAAACGCCTTAGAGTTACAGCCCAGAAATAAAAACAAACCTCAATTGTGCTGAAATCATGGTTGTATTCCATTAAAATCCAAAACTAAACAGGCTTGAAATTAAGCCGTTCAGGATTAAAACGCAGGTCTAATCTTCAGCTGTTTGTAGGAAAGCGTGGTGAATTTCTTGTGTTTATTTGCGTAAAAACAACGTGTTTCAGTATTGGAACCAGTGCCTGCATTGTGTTCGATCAGTACAAAACAAAAGCTACACCCAAAGGCATGCCTAATATTTGAATCCCATTCTCAGTGGTAGAGCAATATTAGAAAATATGAAAATAACACAAGCATTCTAATAATAATAATTACATAGAAATTCACAACATCAATTATGTATGAGACTAATATAAACAATTAGAGATAAAGTTAGAAAAACTGACAAACTTGGAGATTGAGGCTTGCATAAATGCAATGTCCTAAAGATAGAATTTCGCCCCTACTCTTGTGCTTGTAGTTCGATAGGCGTCCATCTCTCAGGATTCAACAATCTATAATCCGAAGTCAAAACACTTCAATCTTCGGACTCTAGCGAACTTCATATATTCTGTACTCTCAAGACACGACTCGGATTTCTACTAAGAAATATTATAATATTAATTATAATATATAATTTATAATTTCCAACAGTCAGAAAATAACATTCAATCACTCCTATCAATTCGTCCTTAATATTTCAGGATGTAATTAGGCAGCAAAACATTGGTGAAACTTTTATTTCCAGCTACAAAGAAGAAAGACCAACTTGAACAATCCCGGGTTCGTTTGTCTTCCTCCTTAGAAACACTAGGCTAACACCAACTCACATTACGTACTCCGCAGGTCAAGTTTATGAGTTGACGGATACTATATATCAATAACTTAAGATTATTACACTGACATTGAATATCATTATTAGGAGTGTCACAATACGGGGAGTGGCTGGTGGTCTTGTGAGGATGTGAAGGTAAAAGAGTCCTATATCGGTAAAAGAAGAAACTTTACAAAGACTTATAAGAGGTTGACTACTTCCCACATTACTAATTGGTTTTATGGTGGAAACTCAACTTTTTTCAAACCCAACTGTTTACAAGCTCTATAAAGTTTCATAACTTAGTTCAGGATGTGAGACAAAACTTTCATACACACGCCTCATCACGTGTATGTTTGATGACACTCAAGTCAAATGCGTGAACAACATTTATTGGATGATGTTGGGTTCAAAATTTGACCAATGTGCCAGATATGTACCATGAAGAAAGTTAATATTTATGTTAACGCATAATCGTTTTAGAATATAGTTGTTGTTGGTCCTAATAAAATGGGTTTGAAGAGAGCCCACTGAAGGACGAGAAGGTCAAGACATTAGGTTTGAAAGCCAACTCAAGGAATCTAGATGACGAAGATCCACCTCAAGAACGAAAGACGACATCCCACAACCCAAGGTTGTCCACTGACAATAAGAGACGAGTGCAAGACTTAAAGTACTTTTTGATCGCTTGAGCTAGGTGGCAGGCTTGACAACTTTTTGGCATGGAGCTCCAAAGACAGGTTTGCCTAGACGTCAACTCCTAGCCACACGTTGGCCATCGACGGCTAAAGAAGTTTATGAAGAGAGGCCTAGTGCTCTACTAAAGTGCTTTCCAACCACTTTTGAATGAGCGGGACGCTCGATACGCGTCAACCCGAGAAACTCTGCTAGTAACTCTAAGTGAATGCTGCGACTTCTCCACATGTGGAGTGGATAATAGAGGAATAGCTTATAGCTTGTGGGGCAATGAGAGAATTAAGAGCCCATGACTTTTGAGGCTCGTATAGGCCTATATAAAGAGGCCGAACACCACTTATAAGCTATCGGATTCACGAAAAGATAATTATATTACACTATTATAGAGCTCTCTTGGAATCCACATCACATATATATCAAACCACAATAGGAGACATAGTCTATTTTTAAGGATGAACCATTTAAATACTTGTATCCGTAGTTTAGCTTTATATCCCAAACCCCACCAAGGGTAAACCATACAAGTTTTTGTTCGCCTCCCTGTTTTGAGCATGAACGATTCCATGTATAAAAAATTGGAGCAATGGTCCTTAAATTTTGTTCCAATTGGAGCTTTAGTCCTTAAACTAATAATCAGTGAGTATAGTTCTCCAAACTTATAATGTGGAGCAATTTGTTAAAAGGCTTGGTGGTGAAGTTGGGAATTCTTTCAAGTCTTGGTGGGTGATTTTGTTGTTAGGAAGTCATCGTGTTTCTGGGAATGCAAGTCAAATTTTATACCCGCAAAGCTTAATTGTTAATTAGTTGGAGCATAGATTTAGGAAAATGAAGAAATAAGAAAGGAAATTAGAGAAAGATAGCATTCTATTTCCCCACAAGTGCTTTGTAATGCATATTTTGGATGCACAAATAGTAATCAACCACTTATTAAAAACACATTACAAAACATCTGTGGTTTAGCTAATCCTTCTCCAAGTCTTATTTATAACATATGTGGATTTGCGTGCACGCCCTTCAGACTTGAGGAATTCTGCACGTCACAATAGTAATTAAAAAACACATTAGCCAACGTCAAATTATGAATAAAAATCTTAAGAAAGTGTTTTTATCACTTTAAAGTAGTCATTGTTTTCTTTTTCACCATGAACTGGTGCAAGATGACTTTTTTGAAGTGTGGATTATAGCTTAAACAATAAATGAGCGAGAAAGAGAGTGCTTACGATTCGGAATCGATTTTGGGGTAGAGAGTAACGGGAGGGGATACATGTCATAAATGAGGAAGCTGCATGATTCTGTCAAGTCTGAGTTGCATTCCAGCAATTGTTTCTTGAAGCATTTTAGAGAGTTTAATCTGAGATTCACTGGTGTTAGCCGCAGTAAAAACAGTTTTCAAACCATGGCAGCAACTAATCGGAGGAGTCCCAGGGCCGGACCCCTTCACGTATGCCCTATGAGTCCCAGGGCAGGACCCCTTCACGTATGCCTCACAGGGCTTCAAATCCATCAAGGCCTGTCGGCATGTGATATCGCCATATGCAGGACTTGCTTGGTTGACAACTATAACCATTAACCCAAAAACCAACGCAGACATCATTTTCATCTCCATTTTCAAAGTAAGCAATGCTCAGGTATGGATTAAAATTTTTGGTTTGAGTCAGGAATATTGGCATCCTAGACACTTGATGGAAATTGCGAGAGGGGTTGGCACCCCCTTGCAACTAGATTCAGCTACAAGGGAAAGGCAATATGGTTATTATGCACGTATATTAGTTGATGTCAATCTTGCAGGTGATTTACCTACATCTCTTATGGTTGAAAGAGAAAGTCATGGCTTCCCGGTTGAGGTGGTTTATGAAAATTTACCGCCCAAATGTAGTCACTGTGGTTTGATAGGGCACTTGGCTAATAGTTGCAGACAACTCAAACAGATGTCGAGAGGTCGCTCTCGTAGCCGGACGCGAAAGGGTGGTAACATGGGGGACAACAAAACCGGAGATCACTCTCGCAGTCAACTGCACATGGAATATCGTCCCAAAATAGATACAACAATACCAGTTAATGTCTTTTGTGGGTCACATGCCTCTGAACCTCTTCAACAGGTTGATCAATTGTTGCCTGCAGGTATTGAGGCAGTGGATGATGGTAATGATGAGTCCCTGAACAAAGCTCTTGAACCGGTGGTTGATGAGGCCTTAGGGACCATTGCCCAAGCTGTGAATAACTCTGAATTTGAAGAGCATGGTATTCAATCCCCTGGGATTTCTCATATTAGCAATTCTATGACCGGATCGCTGTCTCCAGATGGATCACATCATCAGAATGGTCTTTCTTATGGTCAGCATTTGGGCAACACCAATGTGCCTAATATTCTTGGCCCACATGATCTCTGTGACGACTCTAGCACTCCTCCTGGCTTTGATCAGGTCGAGACGGTAGCTCAGAATAGTCAGCACTTGGGCAACACCGATGTCCCAAATAATTTTGGCATGCAGGATCCTCATGACAACCATAGCATTCCCCCTGGTTTTGAACATGTTGCGACATTAGCTAAGGATGTCATCGATATTGTCAATCACATAGAAGGCTGTGATATGGATGGTTTTACTCCTGTGCTATCTAACAGTCAAAAGAAAAAACAAAAGCAGCTTGCCAATCTTGATCAACCCTGTGATAAACCATATCCGAGTAGGGTCCGCGGATTACCGGCTCGTTATAAATGAAGGTTCTCTTCTGGAATATCCGTGGCATTGGTAACGATGACTCTCGGACGGAGCTCTCTAACATCTGTCGGTTGCATCACCCGGATTTGGTTTGCATTGCGGAGCCCATGGTGACTTTTAATTCTATTTCAGCTGCTTATTGGGATTCTTTAAATTTATCTGCTCTTACTTTTAACTCTAGAGGAACTCTTGCCCCCAACCTTTGGTTACTAACATCTTCGGCTTGTGCAGACCCTTTAGTTATTTCTATATCTGATCAACAGGTTACGGTTCGCTGTACTTTTGATCATATCCCAAGCCAGTTCACATTTGTTTATGCAAGCACCTCATCTATCAAAAGAAGAGACTTGTGGGCTGACTTTATCTCTCTGCGCCCACAAACACAAGTTCCATGGATGGCTATTGGCGATTTCAACGCTATCCTGGGTGCCCACGAGCAGATGGGAGGAGGCAGACCGTCCCAAGCTTCATGTGCTGAGTTTAGTAACATGTCTGACACTTGTAACTTTACCCACTTGAACACATCTGGGGCAGCCTTTACATGGTCTCTAATGGCTGGAGGTCTCGTGGTCGCACTGAACGAAGGTTAGATCGCTCCTTGTGTGATATAAGTTGGTTTGATTCTTGGCCCCACTCTAACTGCATAGCGTTGCCAAAGGTAGTCTCAGATCATAACCCCCTTATTTTCTCTGGTTCTAGAGTTTTGCGCAATGGTCATCGTCCTTTCCGTTTTCAATCAATGTGGGTTCAACATCCATCTTTTCGAGAAACTGTAACTCATTGCTGGAGCAATACAGTTGTCTATGGTTGTCCTATGTTTATCATTCTGCAAAAATTGAAAGCTCTAAAAACCTGCCTGCGCCAATGGAATTTTTCGGTTTTTGGTGATGTTCATAATAGAGTGGCTAATGCTCGGCATAATCTTTCTATGATTCAACAAAGAATTTCAATTGAGGGTATAAATAATGATCTTTTCGAGGAGGAGATTGTCGCCAAGACTACAGTAATGGAGTCTCTTCAAATGCAAGAGGCATTTTGGAAAGATAGAGCTCGTGTTAAGTGGTTAACTAAAGGGGATAGAAATTCTTCTTTCTTTCATGCTTATGCTCGTATTAAATCATCCAGCTCTCATATCAGTTGTATTCTTGATGGAAATAATCTTCTTACCGACCCGCTGGCTATTGAGAACCATATTGTTAATTTCTATCAGACTGTGTTCGGCTCTTCTTTCAACCCTTCAGGTATTGATGAGGTTGTGAGGTCATCCAGCCGATGGTCACAGACTCTGAAAATGATCTCTTATCTGCATTACCTACTGATGAGGAAATTAAGGAGGCAGTTTTCTCATTAAGTGCTTCCAGTGCGCCAGGGCCAGATGGTTTTCCAGGTTTTTTCTATCATCACTGTTGGGATATTGTCAGCTTTGATGTCATTCAATTTGTGAAGCAATTCTTTCAATCAAATTGGCTGTACCCCAATACAAATAGTAACTTCTTAGTTTTGATACCGAAGGTGGAAGACGCTATTTCCATGACTCATTTTAGACCTATTGCTTTGGCAAACTTTCTCTTTAAGATTATTCCCAAAATTTTGGCAGTTCGCCTTTCTCATGTTGTTCAACGCATTATTTCTCCACATCAAGCTGCTTTCATACCTGGCCGACGTATCACTGATTGTATTTGCCTAGTTTCAGAATGTTTCAATGTGCTTGACAAAAAAACTCGTGGTGGCAATATGGGAGTCAAAGTTGATATAGCTAAGGCTTTTGATACTTTAGATTGGTCATTTCTATTGCGGGTGCTTACTAACTTTGGGTTCTCCACTTGTTTTATAGACTGGATTTCTACCATCTTACGATCTGCTAAATTGTCCATCCTAATCAATGGTTCCCCGCATGGTTTTTTCTCTTGTTCACGAGGAGTGCGCCAAGGGGATCCTCTCTCTCCGTTACTTTTCTGTCTAGCTGAGGAGGCTTTATCAAGGGGCTTGAGTCGTCTTCAACTTGATGGGCTTACTAAGCCAACTTTTGCTCCAAGAGGTTGTATCTCTCCTTCTCACGTTCTCTATGCAGATGACTTATTCATTTTCTGTAGAAGTGATGGTGTCACCCTGCGTAACTTGCAAGGTTTCTTCGATAGATATAGTAGAGCCTCTGGTCAATTTATCAATAAGGCAAAAAGTACTTTCTACTTGGGCTCTACCTCAAGGCATCGCAAAGCTGTGGTTGAGAGTTACTTGGGTTTCAAAGAAGGCAAAGCACCTTTTGTCTACCTTGGAGTTCCAATCTTCTGTGGCAAGCCTAAAAGGAGTCATCTTCAAGCCTTGGCAGATAAAGCTAAAGCTAAGTTAACTGGTTGGAAGGGGAAACTTTTATCTATGGCAGGAAGAGTTCAACTCACTCAATCAGTTTTTCAAAGTATGCTCTTGCATAGCTTTTCTGTTTATAAGTGGCCTTCTTCCTTGCTAAGGTCTCTTTCACGATGTGCTCGCAATTTTATATGGTCTGGTGACGTAACCTCCAAGAAGTTGGTTACCGTTTCTTGGCATCAGATATGTGCTCCGAAGAATGAAGGTGGTTTGGGTTTGCGTGATCTTGGCTCTCTTAACACTACAGCTCTCTTAAAGCTTGGATGGCTTATTATTACTACTGATTCCCCTTGGAGTATTTATATTCGGAAACGTTTCAAGCTACATGGTCGCCTATACTCTTGTAGTTATATGCGATCTTCTATATGGCCTGGTATCAAATCCATTCTTCATATCTTGTTTCAGAATTGTCGTTGGGTGATTGGAAATGGTTCTACTACTTCCCTTTGGGTTGATAAATGGCTGGATAAGCCTATTGTGGACGTCGTTGGTGCAACAGAGATTGCCCCTTCTCTATCTCGTACTAAGGTCTCAAATATTATTCGTATGGGACAATGGGTTATTCCTTCTATCTTTTCTTCTACTTTCCCAGACCTAACTAAAGAGATTTTAGAAATGCCTCTTCCAATTGATGAGGATAAGGACGTTTTAATTTGGGAAGCTTCTACTTCTGGTGGTTTTTCTTTTTCCGATGGCTATGAAATTGTTCGTCATCGGTTTCCTGTCAAGAGTTGGGCTTCCATTATCTGGCGTCCTTTCATCCCACCTCGTTACTCTATTTTAGTTTGGAAGATTTCTTTTCAACAAGCTCCCAACGGAGGATCAACTTCAGCGCCGAGGCATCCCGCTGGCTCCAATATGCCAACTATGTCACAAGAATTCTGAATCTATTGACCACTTATTTTCTAGCTGTGACTTTGCACAATGTGCTTGGCGTTGGCTAGCTACCCAATTTGGCACTATTATTCAACCTATGGGCTCCCTCTCTGATCTATGGCTTGATTTTCTGTCAAAGCGGTTCTCTCCACATCTTCGCAATGTCTGGCTAGCTTCAGGGTTTTTCTTACTCATGGCTATTTGGAAGATGCGTAATAAAGTGAAGTTTGAAGGCAAACCTCCCTCATTCTCACGTCTCTGCCACTCCACCTCGGCCTGGATTAGGCAGGTTGGAGCTCTCACCCCTGGCCATGTACGAGGCACTTTGGATCGGCAACTTTTAGTCTCTCTTGGAATATCGCCTAACCCCTGTAAAGCTCCTTCTATTGTCCCTGTTCTTTGGCACCCCCCTCCTTCTTCTTGGGTCAAAGTGAATACTGATGGCCTTGCTAAAGGTAATCCGGGTCCTGCGGCATGTGGCGGGGTTTTTCGAGATTCTGCGGGTTATTTTCTTGGTGGTTTCTCCCTAAGCTTGGGCCATCGTACTTCTTTCTATGCGGAGCTCCATGCTGTCATCCTTGCTGTCGAATTGGCCCACGCGCGAGGCTGGCAAAATTTATGGCTTGAAAGCGACTCTTCGAGTGTAATATCATGTTTTGCTTCTGGATCTTTTCTCTCCCCCTTGGTCGCTCCAGACACGCTGGAACAATTGTACTCTCCTTTTGCAGAACATGGTTTTTCGTTGCTCTCATATTTTTCGAGAAGGGAATGCTGTTGCTGACAAATTAGCCAATTTAGGGCTTCTATCATCTTCACTTGTCTGGCATTCCACTCCCCCAATTGAGATCCTCCCTCCTCTGCACTCAGATTTCTTGGGCATGCCAACCTACAGGTTTGTCTCCTCTTCTTGATGTGTTTTCTCCTTTCTTTTCCTAACCTTTTTGGATTCCCTTTTGTTTTGCAGTTTGTTTTGCAGGTTATTACCTTTTAAGGTTTTATAGAGGGGTTTGGGCTTATGTCCGCCTAGTCTTTTCCTTGTATTTTCTTTTCCAAGAGGGGTACGGTCTATGTCCCCCCCTCTTTTTCCGGCATTTCCTTTCTCAAAAGGGGTAAGGTGCATGTCCCCCCCTTTTTCTTTTGTATTTCTTTTCTCTTGTTCTATGAGGGGTTAGGTTTATGTCCCCCCCTGTCTAGGTGTAACTTCTTTTTTCTTATCAATAAAATTCCCTCGTACCGCCGAGGTTCTCCAAAAAAAAAAAAAAAAAAAAAAAAAAAAAAAAAAAAAAAAAACAAAAGGAAATGTTGATTATAACATGACTAATTTATATGGCTAAGCAGAGACTTGAAGATTTGGGTGTGGCTTGGACCATGAATTGCATGCTCTATTATAGGGAAGTTGGAAGCAGCTTTTTGGTTGCTCATGTACTTTTTCTCCTTTTTAGGAGCTGTACTTTTTTCTCCCTTCTTACACAGATTTCTTTTACTTTAAATTAAAAACCATGTTTCACCAAAAGAAAAACAGGTTTAAAAATGTGTGAAACCACAATCGCGAGGAATGCTAAGAATACCATCTATTTAAATCATATTTTGTAAACTATGTAAAGATGTCTTAGGTTCAATTGTGGTTTCACTTAGTACTTGTAAATGAGAGGTTTTAGGTTCGATTTTCGCCAAAGTCGAATGTGAACCATACTATTGCTAGCTTATTGTGAGATTAAACCCACCTCCTCTCTTTTAGTGTAGATAATATCATTTGTTTAAATAAAAAAAAAAATTTGGGTTCAAAATATTATTATTTGGGCGTTTTATATCTTTAGCTGGCTTTTACCCTATCTAAGAAGAAACGTTTTCTTTGCTGTTAAAACGCCTTGTAATGGCCGGAAATAAACAAACCAGACCTGCGCTGGAAGCATGGTTCTTTTCCATTAAAATCCAAAACTAAACAGGCCTGAAAGTAAGGGGTTCAGGATTATATCGCAGCTCTGTCTTCTACTGTTGAATGGACCGCGTGAATATATTTCTTCTGTATGTTTGTGTAAGAACGTGTTTGAATGGAACTAGTGCATTATAAAAACTGTGTGCTCAAGGGCGTCCTTCTACTGGCTATTGGGAATTCGATTGTCTACTATTTAATCACCACCGATCCTATCTATTAGTACTTGAATTTTTAAGTCAGCAACAAATTGTTTAGGAGTTGACTTTCCAGCTAACGAGGAAGACAAACAAAATTAAACAAAATCCCGGGTTCGTGTCTTCCTCTATGTAACCTAACTAATAAGTCGAGTTCATGAGTTATGCCTGACCATAAATTAAAAAAAAAAAAAAAAAAAGAGTTCACGAGTTATGATGGCAATTGAGATTAATTTCTTAACACGAGATTTCACTTTAAAATCAATTTGTATGGCAGTGGTCCAACTCCCAATAAACACTTGTAAGGTTAATTTCAAAACTAGGAATGTAAGACAACACTCCCTCACATATGTCTCAATTGGGCTTGGATTGATTGGTCTAATCCTAAAATGGTATCGGGTAATTCGTGTGTTAAACGTATTACCACTCATCCAATAAATTGAACACATATCAAGCGTATGAGAGATGCCACACATGAGTAGACAATGTTGATAAAATTCCATGTTGAGACCCTGTTTGATATTGTTTTTTTTTTTCTCACCAAAAGTTGTTTCACAATGTTTAGTTAAAAAAATATCCTGCTTATTTTAAGAGTAATGACTTCCAAATAGCAACTTTTAAAAGCATGTGTATGTTGCTCTTAAAATCTGTTTTCATAAAAGCAAAATTGAGCGTTTAGTGAATATACATGTAAAACAAAAAAGGTTTTATTATGAACCTAAGTTATACTAACAACTCTTCTTCCCAAAACTGGAAAACTAATCTCTCAATATATTTGAAAATACAGCAATCGTGTATTTGGTAATCAATGACTTCAAGTCAACTCACAGATTCTATCTTCATCAGTATTATAATAGTTGGCAAGCAAAAGATAATGACAACCCATTTATCCGAAGATTATAAATCGATGATTGCTTGATATTTTGGATGAACAGAAGACTATTCAAAAATCACATTCTACATGAGAAAACAATTGGTTGTGGCACTAGTTGTAGGCTTGTAGCTAAAATGGAGCATGTGTCCTTGATTCTCATTATAATAAGTAAAAATAAGGGAAATGTTATTGACACTCTAAAAATATCATCCTACACTCTTCATAAGTGTATTTTTCTTTTCAAAATATAGAAAGTTTGGAGTGTATAATGAGATTTTTGAAGTGCCAAAAACAATTCCCAAAAATAATAGGGAACTTTAACGAAAAGCACCCGGTACTGTTCACTTTAACGAAAAATCACATTTTTACACTAAAAAGTCAATCATGGTACTATTTACTTTACCCTTTATTTTGTCCTTATCATTAAAACTCAAAGTTTTCAAACCCTTTTCATTAGTTTTCCTAAAATAATATACCTCATTTGACAAATATCACTAATACATTTGAAAATATCTCGGAGATACCACAAAGATGATCATCAATCTCTAATTCATGAACAACTGAAATATATTGGGTTCCAAGGTTAAATGCATGTTTCCTTATAGGGGTGTCACCTAGTAATTAAGGTAATGTTAATAATGTGCCGTATCTAAAATTATATAAAAGGAATCATGCATCTGTGTATTATTTCTGTATTATATCCAACATCGTACATATGAACAAGCAATCATATAAACATGCACTAATTTCTGCATCGCCTAGTTTCCATACGTATCCCCTTTTTTTACCCCACACACTATGGGTTTTTCGACTTGTATATGAGCTCGTTTAGAAGAGTAATAAATAAGAAAAAACAAATGTCCCTATAGGTATACTCTCATTTACTGCTCTCTCTTTATGATCATTTGATGATGATCAGTTGCATTTTACCATTTTTTATCCCTTCAATTAATTAATTAGAAGGAAACGTTTTCCTTATTTTTTTGTTTTGGATTAGAATGGAATCAACAAACAAACTGCAATTCTTCTGTCGACATTAAGCAGGTTTTTGGTTTTGTCTTCTGTATTTTTATATTCTGATTATTTGATATCTTGCTTTAGGAGTCCTTTTACTTAAGCCACATAATTTTGCTTATTTTGTTCCTCTTTACTATATAATATTCATGTTCGTAATGTACTATATTTGTGCATAATTTCCCCATAAAAACTCTGTTCATGTGAATTTTACACACACACACACACACACATATATATATATATAGTGAAATGAAAAACAACTTTGGAATAATGTTTACCTTGTGTGAAAATTCCAAAACCAAAACAGAGGAGTACTTGTGCAAAATCGAGTGTAATGACGTTCTAGAATTCATACTATTTTGTGTGAAAATTCAGAATTGAAGAGAAGATGCGCAAGAGGACGACAGAACGTCCACTTTCATAGCAACCATGGCATACATATGCTTGTTTTCTTGTTCTCGTTTGTTTTCTTTTGTTTTTTGTTAAAAACAAAAAAAATCACCTATAGGAGTTTTTTTTATGAATAAATTGAACTTATAGTATAAGCTAGCAAGCAAATACACTGTTTGTCGAGGCTTTGAACAGGTTTACACGCTTAGCAAACTTTGTAACCATCGGATCGGCAATTTTCTAAGGCACGTCCATGTCCCCCAATTTTCTTGGTGCTCCAAACGCGTACGGGATATATTCTCTGAAAACAACAAGTAATTGGATCAATCGCCCTTCTTCTATAGTTTTCGTCTTCCCATCCATTGTTGTTGTTCCTCTTCTTCTTAAGGACTTATTTCTGCACAATTTATTCACCTGATATTATGGCCGTAAGTTATTTTCTGTTTTTAGTATTGAAATTCTTACTGTATATTATACTTTGTTCAGTATTACAATTTGCCTCGTAGCTACTAACTGTATTTTTTCATTTTTGAAGAAATTGATCATGATTTCTTTCACACGTATATATATATATATATATATATATATATATATATATATATATATATATATATATATTTTTTTTAATGATTTTAGGGCCATATACATTCTTGGGTTGGAGAGGTCGCACTTGGTGCGATGGCAAGTGCTTTCGCCCATGAGCGGTAGGTCTCGGGTTCGAGACTTGGGAGCAGCCTCTCCATAAATGGGGGTAAGGCTAGCCGACATTCACCTCTCCCAGACCCTGCGTAAAGCGGGAGCCTTGTGCACTGGGTACGACCTTTTTATACATTCTTGGGTTGGTGATGATTGGAAAATATTTCATTTTTGTAAGGAATATCATGGATTTATTAGATTAGTTCATACCGTAAGGGCGGTATTTGAATTGATAAATGCTGACAATCTTTGTTGATTGATCCTAATTAGAAAATATTTGATGCTATCCAATGTTTTGACTAAATTCATATTGAATGAAATTGTCTAAAATGATCAATTTTCAAATTTCAATTGTAAAGTGATCACTTTCAGTATCTTGTCAATATTTGATTGCCATATTTGGTCAGTCATTGATTATTAATTTGTTGATATTTGGTTTTTATGTCGTTTGATCTTTAATTTTGACTAGTAGTTCAACAATTGTGATATAATGTTTTTTCATTTTAGTCAAGTTCCCTTGATTTTTATGTCTCGTTGGATCTTTAAGTTTTGAATAGTAGTTCAACAATTGTGATATACAGTTTTATCATTTTAGCCAAGTTTCCTTGATTCTTTATATGAGCATAATTTTAAAACTTATTTACAACGACATCATTGTGGACGATGCAAATCACACACTATCATATGTTTTAACTTCTTATATAACGTCGAGCGAATTGTCCATAATATAATCACAATGTCATCTCTATTCATGGAAGTCCTCATGGAAGATTTTTGTTGTTGTAAGAAACAATATTAAAAAGATTAATTTGTTGCAGAAAAACCCCATGTCCCAAAATTTGGGGACTGGGACAGTGACAACATATCATACACTGCATGTTTTGAGAGCGCTCGTAAAAATGGAGTGAAGGGAAATCCAAATGATCCCGAAGACAACCCAGAGGCCTTCAAGAGCATGCTTGAGTCCTCCGCCGCACAACCTCCTTACATATCCACGAGTTCGAGCAGCAAACCACAAACCTCAAGCGAAAAAGTCCGCCAAACTGAAAGAGACAGTAGCCACCGTGCGTATCAGCGACATGGCATTGCGCATGAGCATAGGGTTTCTGGAGGGAGCCGCAAGAGTTACGCATCGGGGTCTGGCAGCGAAAGGAGCAGCTCTGATTATTCGCTCTTGCAGCAACAACCGAGACACCACCGTGAGAGATCTGATAGAAAAAGTAGCTTGGCTTCATCAGGAAGTGATCGTAGTCATAGCGCTTCCAATTCCCAGAGCAAGCCTAAAAGTACCGGCAGTAGCACTCATCAGTCCAGTAATCTTAGTCAACACGATACTGTAAGTTCTCTTCATTTTTCTCTCTACAGTAACGGATTGATAAAACCTTGGCACCGTCAGATGGTGTTATCAATCCGTTAATGTCATAAAACATATATCTATTTACTAATATTATGCCCTTTTTTTTTATGAAACATAGACTTTGTCATCAACTGTCGTATTATAACTCGTAAATTGTGATTGTCCCACTTACGTAGAATTCATTGCTAAAGTGCGGAAAATTTGTAATGTGACAGCATACTAGAGTTGCTTCAATACCCAAATTTGGGGATTGGGATGAAAACGATCCCCAATCTGGTGAAGGTTTTACTTATATATTTGAACGAGTGAAAGAAGAAAAGAAAACTGCATCAAAGTTCCCAAATGTGCCTCAGCAACCACGCAACAATCTCAACAGCGCGAATAAACGTGGAAAATCGCCTTCCAAATCAAAGGTAATTTTGCGACCAAACAAAGTTTCGTAATTACATATTCTCGATAGTTTAAATTTTCATCAACGAATTACTGTTAATACATAAATTTTCCATATGTTCTTGCGCAGAGTTGGTGCTGCATATTTTCAAGTAAATAGGGCAATGACATGGAGATGATCATGCTTTGGTCCTTTTATGGCAAGATAAAGAAACTCAATTATTCTCTAGTTTCTCTGAGACCGGACAGTTTATTATTTTTTTCTTTTTTTTTTAATGAAAATTTCGTCGTCGCTACTGAGTAATAAGTAATTGTTCAATTTTTGTGCAACAATTATTCCTGATTGTTATGTGTTTAATTTTCTTTGGTTATGTTATTATTTCACGTGTCTAATATTTATGTTGATAAAGAATTTCTTGCATTCTATTTTGTTAATGTAAGTATTTTTTTTGTTGGATAATTAATGGAAGTATATTTGAATCGAGTTTGTTTACAATAGAGTTGCTATTCAAAAGTTTTTTTTTTTACAAAAAACAAGAAGTACTTTGAACTAAAGAAATATTTGACGCTACAGTAACGTTTTAAGAATCATAGAGTTGATTTTACTTAATGAGATAAACTTTTATTGATGTTGTTTTGGAAAATAATTATCCAACAAATTAAAATAAAAAGTAATCGAAATTAAATGGCGCTCGAAATTAAAGTTCAAAATTTCAAATATGTTATTGTTCATCGTTACCCAAATTCAAATATTATGGTAGGTCAGAATGCCCTACAAAAGGCCCCATCATCTTATACTGTGCTCTATTACGCCAACGGCCCGATTATATCCCGTCGAGCCCCGATGGGGCCCACTTTCAACATCCAGCTCCATCACCATGATTTTCACATCGCCCAACCGTTCAAAGTCAATAAAAATCATGCGTGTCGCTCCATAGCGACCCTGGCCCCGCACGACCCCAATGCGACGCCGTTTGCCATTGCATTGGAAATAAAAACCCAAGCGCCAAATGCTGTTACGAAAACAGAGAAAATTCACTCACTCTCTCTCTCTCTCTCTCTCTCTGGTTTTCAAATTTCTGAGTGAAGTTCCTCCTGTTTTCGTCCGAATGGAGATTGGATCGGGTCGGACCGGTGTGTGCCCGAAAGAGCATCAGAAGATTTACCAGGAGTGGTTCAACTTGGTTGATTCCGGTGAAATATGCTATCCTCTTTTTCCTACGCAAAATTTTGATTAAAAGTTTGGTTTTGAACTTCTGATCGATTGCCTGTTAATCGTATTGCTCTGGTTGTTAGATGGCGATGGCCGTATTACTGGAAACGAAGCCACCAAGTTCTTCGCCATGTCGAAGCTTTCTCGAGAAGAACTCAAGCAGGTTTTCATTCTTTTGCGATAGCAGGCTAATAGTTATCTTTGTTTATAGGGATTGCTTATGTAGAAGTAGAAGTCACTATTGCTCATAAGTGCTTTTGGTAAAAACACTTTGAAATTTTTACAAAAGTCCAAATACTTATTTGAAAGCACATTACAGCTGCTCAGAAGCACTTCTATATATATTGTGTCAGTCACAGTCAAAAGTGGTTTTGGTTGTGAGAAATGAAAATGCTTTTCTCTCTTCCGTAAGTAGTACCGAAACAATTATGTTCGACTAGGAAAGTATGATTGTATGGTTTTACCCTCAGATCGATATGTATTGGAAGTTAATTTGGTTGTGTTTGGGATTAGGTATGATTGTTTGGAACTCACCTTTTGTTTTCTCATTTATCATTCAAGGTTTGGGCGATTGCTGACACGAAACGGCAGGGATTTTTGGGGTTTTCGGAGTTCGTGACTGCAATGCAGGTTGTGCATAATTTTGGGGATATATTTCTTGATTAGTGTATGTTTTATTAGCTATTGAGAATTGTAATAGAATCTTACCCTCAAGTGTGGTTGAATTTGGTAGATGATTTCCTTGGCACAAGAACATGAACTAAGCCCAGACATCCTCAAAACCGCAGGCAAGAATCTCCGTTTAATATCGTATTTTCTGTTTTCGTAAATATGGAAGAACCAACATATACATTTTATCTAGTTCTCATTCATTTCGTTCCTCAAGTTATTCATGTTCAATTGCAGTTGACTGGGAAAACATTAAACCTCCAGTAATAGAAGGTTTGGATGATTTGATAGCTGTGAGTGTCTTCCCTTTACCTCCCTTTTGACTTTATATCATACATTGTGACTTTCACTTACTATTTTCTCGATTCTGTACTGACAGAAAACCAAGAGTTTAACAACATATGGAGTTGAAGTAAATGGTTAGAAAATCGATCCAACTTTATTGGGAATGTACTTGTTATAATCTTGTACTGAATGTCTTCCTTGGCAATGATGTAGGAACTGCTCAATTTCAACCATCAGTTCAGCGGTTTGGTTCAAAATCAGCAAAGAAAGTAAGACCAGATGTCCATTGTGCAATTGATTACTGCTGTATTTTTATACTCGTCGTATGTTTTTTAATGAATTAAACAATCTCCTTAACGAGTTTCTTTACTTATTCGATTGAAAGGAATTAGTTTCTTCTGTATTCTAATTCATCGAATATCACATTTTATCTTTTTTGTCATCTATAGATCAACCTGTTTTTACTTACTTATGGAGGGATATCTTCTCCTTCCTTATTGCCTGACTATTTTAACATTTTTCTTCAGCTCCCTCCTAATGCTGTGACTTCTATCGTTGATGGCTTGAAGAGATTGTACAATGAGAAACTAAAGCCTTTGGAACTTGCATATCGTTTCAATGATTTTGCATCTCCATCGTTGGTGAGTGGATTTTCTATATGTTTGGATGTATAGTTCACCTCTTTATTCTTCAAAGTGTGTTGGGGAATCAGATATCCCTTTGCTCTTCTTTGCACTGTTTCGTTTGGATAGTACATTTGCTAAACATATGGCTGATTTATTTCTTTGCAGACTAATAGTGATTTTGATGCTAAACCCATGGTCATGCTTTTGGGTCAGTATTCAACTGGGAAAACAACATTTATTAAACATTTGTTACGATGCGACTATCCAGGTTGGTTAAGTTATCTCTATTTTAATTTTGAAATGAATAATTGACAACCTTAGCGTTGAAGGGCTTAACATTCACTTGTTGGAACAGGAGCTCACATTGGACCAGAACCTACTACAGATAGATTCGTTGTGGTGATGGTATAATTGCTAACCACCCGGTTTCCTTCTAAAAGTCTATCATGTTTATCCTTATTTCTTTGTACTCTCTGAATTTTATATTGTATGTTAAATTTTTTTGGTAATTTCTAATTGTCGATCACAATTCTGTTCTCAGTCTGGACCTGATGAGAGGAGTATTCCTGGAAATACTATAGCTGTTCATGCAGACATGCCTTTCAGTGGTCTAACAGCTTTCGGAGGTGCATTTTTGTCCAAATTTGAGTGTTCACAAATGCCACATCCAGTGAGTTTTGAAATTTTTATAATCCTCTATTTGTATAGCATTTCCGTTGATTTTGTCACCATAGTCTTCCTCTTGGAGTGTTTTAACCTTTTTTTTTTTTGTTATAGTTGCTAGATGAAATTACATTTGTGGACACCCCTGGAGTTCTATCTGGAGAAAAGCAACGAACGCAAAGGAGCTACGATTTCACTGGTGCTATATCATGGTTTGCAGCAAAATGTGATGTCATTCTCTTCTGTTTGATCCTCATAAGCTCGACATCAGCGACGAGTTTAAGCGTGTTATTTCATCTCTACGTGGTCATGATGACAAGATTCGAGTGGTCTTGAATAAAGCTGATCAAGTTGATACTCAACAAGTGAGATGCACCTCTAGTTTTTATTGCATTCATTATACTTTTATTGAAAGCAAATTTCAAGTTATTAACTCTTCGTTTACACACTGAAGCTGATGAGAGTTTATGGGGCATTGATGTGGTCGCTTGGAAAAGTTTTGAATACTCCGGAGGTCGTGCGTGTTTATATCGGGTAGGCTTTCTTTTTTCCAATTTGTTACTTCTTTGGGATTGTTTTTCGATGTGTAATTGATCTTGATCGAATGTTGGTATTTCTTCATGGCTTTGCAGCTCATTCAATGATAAGCCTGTCAATGAAGGAGTCGTTGGCCCCATCGGTAAAGAACTGTTCGAAAAAGAACAAGATGACCTCCTATCCGATCTGGTTGATATACCGAAGAAAGCATGTGATCGCCGGGTAAGATTATATGCGTCTCTTTTCGATCTTTCTTGATTTTGTTTTGGTTGATATACGAAAGAAGGCTTGGTTGCTCTTCTTGCGCGCATTGCGTTTGAATCCCAAAATCTGTTACTTCGTATATTGCAGATCAATGAATTTGTAAAACGTGCAAGAGCTGCTAAGATTCATGCCTACATAATGAGTCATCTGAAGAAAGAGATGCCTGCTGTGATGGGAAAATCCAAGGCTCAGCGAAAACTCATCGATAACCTCGAAGAAGAATTTGCAAAGGTTTATCGATTCTTAAACAACACTCTTTGATCTTTAAATCTGTATCTTTGGAGGCATGCTTACTCTAGTTAATTTTTCCAAAAAACAGGTTCAGAGGGACTTCCATTTACCGGCTGGCGACTTTCCAGACGTGGAGCACTTTCGGGAGGTGTTGGGCGGCTATAGCATCGATAAGTTCGACAAGTTGAAGCCGAAAATGATTCAAGCTGTGGATGACATGCTTGGCTATGACATCCCTGAGCTCTTGAAGAAATTCAGAAATCCCTACAATTGATAGAGATTAATATCTGATTGATGGAGTTTATTTTTAGTTGAGTACTTTTGGGAGATTGCATTCTTCATGGGCATGTAAGAGATGGTTTGAGGTTAATAATCAAAGTTTTAGCCTTTCTTAAGCTAAATAATCATTAGCTTGAAATATTGTTAGAAGGGAGAATTTAAACTTGATGTTATAACCAACATGACTAATAACGTTTTGTCGTACTAAATTAAATAATTACTATAAGTTTGTTTGGAAATACTTTTAAAATGACTTAAAAGTGTTTCAGTGAAATTGATTTTGAGAAAGAAATAGATATGTACTTGCAAGAAGCATTTTAGTGCTTTTCGAGAATCAATCGAAATTTTTATTGAAGATTGAATTCAAAAATATTTTTATCAAAAATGCATTTAGTAGTTATTTAAAATACAATTGCAAATGAGTCCATATGTAATTAGTTTCTTAATTGCTTACTTGGCGTTAGTCAGCGGCAATAATTGTTAAGAGAGGATCCTCGTTCTTGCGGGATCCATTTTGTGAGGATCCTAGAAATCCTTCAATTACATTTGTTTATCGTGCATTATGCAATTAATTTTCGTTAGGTGTGGTTTACATTAAAT